GAGCCTGACTGGAGAAACATGATGGAGCCTGACTGGAGAAACATGGTGGAGCCTGACTGGAGAAACATGGTAGAGCCTGACCGGAGAAACATGGTGGAGCCTGACTTGAACAACATGAAACATGGTGGACCCTGACTGCAGAAACACGGTGGAGCCTGACTCCACATCTGTAATGAAGGATTTTCTCCAAGTATGCCTAAAGAAGCCGTCACCATTTTACCCACAGGCAAGGTCTGGGAGGAAGGAGGACTCTTTTCCCACCCATGGGGTAAGGCTTAGCAAGGAAATGATGAAAGGGGCTCCCTCCTTCTGTGCCCTGTTGTCTCAGAAACTCTCTTTAACCCCCTTTCAAGGATGCTTCAGAGTTCCTTTACTTCCTGAACCTGCCTATTCCTGGAATTTGTTCCAGAACCTGAGCCTCAGGCCAGCCCTACCCCCTCCCATGCCCAGCCTAAAGTCCAGAACCCTTCTTTATGTCAAAGCACCAGGACCTACTATCTTCCTGCCCAGCTGCTAGGGAGTGAAGATTACTCAAAAGTAAGAAGTCAAGTCCTAATCACTCTTGAATATGGTAGCAACAAATGAAAACAATATCTCAAAATTCCTATGCTTTGTTTTTTAAGGCTGGATGGAACTGTATATGAAACAAAGTAAATTTTTCCTCAGAAGACTTAAGAAGCAATTCTTTTTCTATGGAGTAAAAAGAACATGAGCTTTGGAGCTAGACAGGCCTGGGTTTAAATCTCAGTTCCACATATTTTAATTGTATGACCTTGGGGAAGTTACTTAACTGAGCTTCTTCTGTTTCCTCTGCTGTAAAATGCAAATGATGTCAGCCACTAAGTGTAAACACAGTGTCTGGTGCATAACAGATGCACAATAAAGTTAGGCTCCCTTTGTATTCTGCCCTCCCTCCCCCCTCAACTTCACCTTCACCTTTTTGCTTCATAAACTGGTTCTGAAAATGGTTCCAGAAAAGTACTGTCTAAACACAACAATTACAGTACCATTGAGGACAGTGTCTCCCTCCCAACCCGGCTGCTTTGAAGGAAGCAGCATGCACGTAGATTTTCATTTGTTTGTTGGAGTTCTTAAATTCCCTTATTTACCACAGGCAAAAAAGTGCAACACTGGGAATTGCTCTGACTCCCTCAGAGTTTGGGGTCCTTGCAGATACACACTTACCACGTTTGCCAGCTGTGTGATGGCTACCTCAAAATGCACTGTGACAGGATCAGAAACGTTTTCCACAGGCCTGATGAACTGGTTATAATGAGAGAATAGTCTGTGAAAGAGTCTCTCCTCAGACACACAGCCTGCACAGCCTGCATTGACCAAACAGAAGAAAGAGTTGGAGAAGCAGAGGATGCAAGCAGGCCAGGCCGGGTCTGGGCACACTCAGTCTTCAGGAACAGGGGAAGTGCGGCGTCCAGGCCACTTGAACATCCCTTCCCCTCCATTCCCTCTCTCTCTTTGCCTGTTCCTGCTTCCACTTGTGCCCATTCCACCTTACGTCTCTGAGCCTCGGTCGTTCACCTTAGAACAGGGATTGGCAGTCGTGATACCAACACCACGACTAGTGTGATGATCAAATACCATCTTAAGAGCACTTTTACAAGTCTAATGCACCACAAATGTAAAGGGATAGACACAAGGCTTGGAATTTTTACTAATGTCACTAAATGTAACTTGCAATTGAACTGATCAGACTAGAAGTCTTCCAGTATTTATAGAAAAGTCCTGCCCTTTCTTGTCTAAAATACTGATCTGACTAACCTCTGTTTCTAAAACCAGCAAGGTGTTTAGCTGGCGGAGCTTCTCAAAGCAAACTAAAATGGCTAGTAATTTCATTAAGGTCTTAACAAGCTATCCTCTTTTTGAAAATCAACTTTGAAATTTAATTAATTTGGAAATTTGTGAGAATACAAGAGTTTTAAAGCAAATTTACTTAAAATATTTTTAAGAATTCAATATTAGTTCTTAAATAATAGCATTTTCAGTCTTTACATGCTAGACAATTTTCAATGTATATCTCTGTATTTTTTCAGAAATACTTTTAAATTAAGTTACCTTCATTTGACATAATTCATTTTTATTAATACCCCCTCTACATTTTCCTTTAGAAAATTCAAATTTGACACCTGACATAGTATTCCATAAATTTACCAAAGAGATTTACACCTTGAAAAAAAAAATTAAACAGATTGAAAGACTCATCAAGGAAAAATGAAAAAAGGATAGCTGTTTGCTAAACAGGAAGAGCTGTTGGACAAATACATTTGGAAACTGGGATTTCAGCAGGAAAGAAATGCTTTAAATGTAAAATATCATCTTACCATCATAATTAATAATGATAAACTATTTCTAGACAAAAGAGATTGGACAAAAAAATTCATGCCATTACTCTTTTTTTTTTTTTTTTTTAACACTTTGAGACATTTTAGGAAAATCCCTCATGTTTCTTAAAGAGCAAGTCCCCTCTAATCTTAACAGCACTTGGGAATGTAGTTTTGTTCAGCAGATCCTTTTTTAAGTCTTAACTTTGAAAATGAATGATCTTTCTTTTACAGTACACTTCAGCATAATAATATGACATGTTTCCTGAAACAAAGACAATTATCTACAAAATGAAAGGGTTCATAGATTGAATAATAGTATCAGCTAACAAATATCACAGTTTCGGAAAAAAATATTAAATACAACTAGAAATAAATAAGTTGAATACATTCATAGCAGAGACAAATAGAAAACTACGTTATTCTTATGATTACCATTTTTAATTGGGAAAAGAAAATAAAACATTGTTTATAATATGTTTTATTGTCCTCCTCCCTGAAAAAAAAAGCTCATCTTAAGACTTAAACCTGACTAATAAAATCGGATAGATTTATTAGCATTCTTAACAGTGGTGGTTCTTAGGCAGAGACTTACTTATCCATAGAATATTTCATATCTGCTCATTCAAACACAACTAAAAGAGTAAACACATAGAACTAAAAAGGGAATATGAGATAAAGCAGAAACAAAACCTACCTTTAAAGAAAGATACAAATATACACACCCAGAGACATACATCAAAGTGAAGGAATCCCTCATGCTTGCTGGTCAGCATGATTAAAACACACTTTGATTTCTTTTTCTAGGCAAAAGAATGTGGAAAACAAAGAGCTATCAGACAGCTACATGCATCAGACCTTTAAATCATCAGAGTCTCACGGCGATCCATTTGTGTCTTCTGCGAAATAAAAACATTCACAAAACATACACGGTTGTTCAGAAGCAGAGACTGAGGCTGGCATAAAGGGCAAATGAAAAGGGACTCAATCTGATGTCAGATGAGTCATCACATTTCCTGTCACCTTAGATCTCTTTTCATGCAAGAATGGTGAAGCAAAGCAGCAAGGGGATGAAAGGCAGGCAGGACTGAGGGAGGATGGAAACCATTTCCACGGCTTCATAGATATTTCTGTAACACAGTCACCACAATCCTTAGGAGAATACACACATTTACTGAGCGCCAACTGTAGGTAAGGTATATTTTGTTGTTGTTGTGTGCCATTTAGTCGATACCGACTCATAGCATCGATATGACAGGGTAGAACTACCCCATAGGATTTTCTAGGCTGTAATCTTTACAGGAGCAGATAGCCAGGTCTTTTCTCCCATGGAATCACTGGGTGGGTGTGAACCACAGCCAAGCACTTAACTATTATGAACTAGGGCTCCTTAGGTAAGGTATATCCAAAAAAAAACCAAACCCGTTGTTGTCGAGTCAATTCAGAGTAGAACTGCCCCATATGGTTTCCAAGGAGCACCGGGTGGATTCAAACCGCCAACCTTTTGTTTAGCAGCCAAACTCTTAACCACTACACCACCAGGGTTTCCAGGTAAGGCACATACTGGGTCCCAAAAAGTGTGTTCTGACTAAGTGAGCTCTCTAGTTAATCGAGGCTTAGCCAGAAAATCTTTGTTGTAAAAAAAAAACTTCCTAAAATATGAGTCTACTTTCCTGTCTTAGTAGGTACAGTTTAGAGAGAAAAGAATTAATTTGGTTTTTGCTGACTCCAGAGCACCCAATGCCTTGTCTTTCTCAGTGTCAGGGGTCAGCATCCAGGACTGGAGATTGAGATGAAGGAGAATGAGAGGAATGGGTACTGAACACAGGTTGCCACCTGGGCATATTTATGCTTATTTAAATACCCTTTCATCAGTTGGTTTTCTTGTAATTTTCCTGTTTCCTTCTTAAGTTTAGTGTCAATAAGATTCTGATTGACTGGGCCATCTGATCATATCTTGCTGTTGGTTTAAGAGGGTTGGACTCAAAGATGACATTCTCAGAGCCTCCCCATCCAAACACTCTAAAATACAATTTGCAAATGTACAGAGTTCAGACAAAAAAAACTTCCCTCAAATTACTATTCACCTCGCATCTCTTGAGGGAATGAAAGAGAACTAACATTTATTTAGCACCAAAGTTAGACCATGGTGGGGCAGTGGTGGTTCAGTGGTAGAATTCTTGCCTTCCATGCAGGAGACCTTGGTTCAATTCCCGGCCATTGCATCTTCCATCTGTCAGTGAAGGCTTGTGTGTTGCTATGATGCTGAACAGGTATCAGCAGAACTTCCAGGCTAAGACAGAATAGGAAGAAAGATCTGGTAATCTACTTCAAAAACCAACCAGTGAAAACCCTATGGGTCACAACAGTTTGATCCACAACCAATCATGGAGATGGCGCAGGACCAGGAAGCATTTTGTCCCATTGTGCACGGGGCTGCCAGGAGTGGAGGACTGACTAGACAGCAGCTAACAACAACAACAAAACTTAGACCAAGCCTTTTAGATATTCAAGATGGTACTCAAGTTCTCCGCTTAGCAGATGGGCTTTTATCCCGTGCTGATGTGTTTTGTGATGTTTGGAAAGAAACTAGGGTGATAAAAAGAAAAAAGATCTAGTTAACACTGGAGTCTATGATGGGTAAAATGCTGCCTCACACTCCAAAATGGGACAATGACTGTATAGTTTTTGAGGTAAAACCCAAATCAAAGTTTCTGCTTTCCAAAGCACAAACACCCTCAATAGTTTCCCTTGCTCAAGCTTTAATTGGTTTGTTCTTCATACTCTCTACTAGACAAATGGTGCAGTCTTTGAGAAAAGCTGTTGGTTCGCATCTTTTGTTTTATCCCATGCATGGCAGTCCTTCTCTGCAACCTACCAGCCCAGAGCAGCGATCTTCAGAATGCAGCACCAGTCAACACTGCTTTCTCCCAGGAGCCCCCCAAATCTGTCCCTTTCTGTCAAGGCTGGGGAGTGGGAGGACAGGAGACTTTAGGAGTGGAGATTGCAGAACAGCCTTGTCAGAAGTACAGCCTGCGGGGAAAAGAGTATGGACTTTGGAGTTAGACACACCTGGATTTGGTTTCTGATACTAACACTTACCTGTGTTGGGCAAGTGACGTAAGCTCCCTGAGCCTTGTCCTCATCAGAAAAAATGTGATTAAATCTGGTAACATAATCATTTACTCTCTCCCCACTCAATTTTATGTGTGATTTCCACTCACTTTCTTACCACTACAAATAGGTAACACAATTAAGTAACTCTCAAGGCCTAAACTTGTAGGAAAGGTTTATTTTCAAATGCTTGTAAAGGGAATACCTCCTCTTATTTAAACAAAACATTTAAACTATGCCCCCACCATCAGAAAAAATGCCTAAGAGTTTTATAATTGAATTATGGGTTTACATCCTGATTCAAACTCTTTTTGGAAATTGCCAAGATAGAAGTTATAAGCAAATACACACACACACACACACACCCCACACACAACTGAGCGAACTTGAAACAGGATCCATACCTAACACCATGCATAAAAACTAACTCAAAATGAATCAAAGACCTAAAAATTAAAGCTAAAATGCTAAAGTTCCTCGAAGATAATACAGGGACAAAACTATGGCACCTAATTATTTTCTGTTATAGATTACCAAACACAACTACAAATTCACGAGCAACAGAAGACAATTAGGTGACTGAACCTATTAAAAATTAAATACTTATGCTCATCAAAAAACTTTACCAAAAAAGTAAAAAGAGAACCTACAGACTGGGAAAGAAATCCTTGGGAATGATATATCTGATAAGGGTCTGATCTGTAAAACATACAGAAAACTTCAACAACTCAACAACAAAAAGACAAACAATCCAATTAAAAAATAGGCAAAGGACATGAACAGACACTTTACCAAAGAGGACATTCAAGTGGCCGACAAGCACATGAAAAGATGCTCGAAATCATTAACCATCAGAAAGAAGCAAATCAAAACTACAATGAGATATCATCTCATCCCTACAAAAATGGCAATAAAAAGAAAAAAACAGAAAAGCAATGCTGGCAAGGTTGTGGGGAGATTGGTACCCTTATCCAGCATTCTTTGGTGGTTACTATGGATGGGAGAGGGATGGAGGGAGAATCACTCTCTAGACAGAAGACACTTGTTAGTTTTGGTAACGGGAAAGGCAACACCAAATGTCAGAGAAGTGAGTGCAACTTATCCAAGGTAAAGGATGACACTAAGAAATACACAAGAAAAAGGGACATTATTGGTGAATGCTATAACATAACAATTTGGCAACAGCAACAGTAATAACAAAAAAATACGTGAGCAGTTACATAGATAGATATATGCATATATGTGTATGTTATTGTTGTTGTTAGGTGCCATCAAGTCAGTTCCAATTCATAGAATGAAACACTGCCCAGTTCTGGGCCATCCTCACAATTGTTGCTATGCTTGAGCCCATTGTTGCAGCCAATGTGGCTATATGTGCATAAACCAAAAAACCAAACCCGTTGCCGTCGAGTCAATTCCAACTTACATGTGTATAGGAAGGTATATGTGTGTATATACATGCACACATTTAGGTGTATCTGTAGGCATATCTATATCCATGTTTGTGAGTGCTGCACATATATTCATACATATAATAAAGCACGTAGGAGACACAGTCACAGCTATCTCCCAGACATAACCAAATACTTCGCAGGTTGGTTTACTGAGTTTGAAGGCTTAGGACTATGGTCTCATGGGACATCTTGGTCAACTGGCACAACATAGTCTATGAAGTTTATGTTCTATACCCTAGTTTGGTAAGTAAAGTCTGGGGTCTTAAAAGCTTGTGAGCAGCCATCTGAGATACAATTATTGATCTCTACTCGTCTAGAGCAAAAGAGAAAGAAGGAAAACAAAGACTCAAAGGAGAAATCAGTCTATAGGACCAATTGCTTACACGAACCACAGCCTCACCTATCCAGAGACCAGAAGAACTAGATGGTACCTGGCTACCACTACCAATCATTCTGGCGGGGGCCACAATAGATGGACCCGAACAGAATGGGAGAAAATTATAGAACAAAACTCAAAATATTAAAAAAAAAAAGGCCAGATTTACTGAACCAGCAGAGACCTGGGGAACCCCTGAGACTATTGCCCTGAAATACCTTTTAAACTTGGAACTGAAATTACTCCTAAAGGTCACCTTTCAACTAAATAACAGTTTGGCTCGTAAAATAAACAGTATCACCCATGAGTATTATGCTCCTCGTATATAAAAAAAATCATCTATTTGAGACCAAACAGTCAACATTTACCCTAAAGCAAAGATGAGAAGGTCAGGGGGACAGGGAAGCAAGAATAATGGAAACAGAACAACCAGAATGGAAATAATAAAAACGTTGACACAATGTGGAAAATGTAACCAATGTCGCTGAAAAATATGTGTAGAAATTGTTAAATGGGAACCAATTTGCTGTGTAAACCTTCACCAAAAACTCAATATTTTTTTTAAATGAGCGAACTTTCAAAAAAATTTTTTTTAACTCAAGAAACAAAAATTGTGTCTTTTCCTGGTATCACTGGATACTGTTTCATGTTTATATTCTAGTAATTAGTTTTTGTTACCTCATATTGTTGAATCAGTCAATAGTTTAGAGTTCTGCCTATGATTTCGTTGTCGTTATGTGCCATTGAGTCTTAGTGAAGTGGAGAAGATGAAGGGAGATAGGGGAAGTACAGGTAGCTCTGGGCAGGGAGAAGGTAATTAACAATGGAAGAGCTCTTGTTTCATCCTTCTCTCCTTTGCCTCCCTACCCCTGGTGGGACAATGGTTAAGCGCTTGCCTACTATAACAGAAAGGTTGCAGTAGGAAGACCTGGCAACCTGCTCCCATAAAGATTACAGCATAGAAAACTCTGGGACAGCGTACTCCGTCACATGGGGTCACTATGGGTCAGAATCAACTTGACAATACCTAACTCAAAGCATCCCTCCACGACCCCTCTCTCCTCTTCGCCAGTTCTGAAAGGAAATAGGAAGAATCAGTAGATTTTAGCTTTTGTCTAGGCCATGTATCTGATGAAAACTATTGATCCACTTCCCCCTCCATATGCATACCAAAAAAACTCTGCATGT